CCCCCCCCCTTCTCTCTCTCTCTCTCTCTCTACCCATGCACACACTCTACCCATGCACACATACATACAGTAGCGGAGTTAACAAGGTAGAAGATGAATGGGAATTGTGCCCAAGGCGTTGATTCTGGCGACTTTATGCAATTAATATAAAATATAATGCCTTTTCTCATATTGCTTTACAAAATTGATAGGATTCACTTATCTTATGAATGATATGTATTTAAGTTACAATTTTTTGAATTTCATTTGAATTTTGTAGCATTGTTCATTTACATAGTCACAACTTTAAAAAGTGACACCTGCCAGATTTCAATGAAATTATTATCTTTCTTAAAATCAAAATAATAAAGAAAAAAAAATTAGGCATATATTTTCACTCAATGTTAGATCACATGACATGAATTCAAGTGGGGGCACTATACATACATGAGAGAGAGAGAGAGAGAGAGATGTGCCCTCCTCATAATGGACCTTTTTTTTTTTGCTATTTGGTCCCAGGATTGACTCTTACAGCACCAAATAACCATGAGATTAATATTTCTCTTACTGCATGAGAGTAAACTTGGTTTAGACTTAGAGAAATGCTATTTGCAAAAAAATTATTTACTTAAAGACATAATGTTTCTATTATCTATACCAACCAATACCACTGTCCAAATAAAAATTTAACATTAGTTTCCCCTTCTTAACCCTCTACTTTTTTATGCCCTTCAGATCCAATAATAATAATAATCATGCAATTCCCTGTTAAAGCAAAGAAGAAAAATAAAAAAAAATCAGAATAATTTTAGTAATTGAAGAGGGACTGCTAATGTGAGGTTTAAAAGTTGTAGTCAACTCCTCCCTCAGTGGGCTGGCTGGCTGGCTGGCTTGCATTTTTTGAGGCAAAAGGCAAGGCTGTGTGCCTTTTCTGTTGATTCAAGATGAAGCAGAGCCCCCCAAAAGTAGAAGAAGAAAAATAGCTTTGAAAATGAAGTTAAAGAAGAGATGCAGCCAAGGCTGGATTGGATTTTCAAGTCAATTTTATCCAAATCAATGCAATGACATCGGATTAGAGGGATGATAGTATTTCTGTATCCCGACGACCAATCCTTCATTTGGGTAGACAATCAATATATCAAGTGTAGGTTTCATGCATCTGTCACGTTTAATTAATGATGACATGACATTAGCTTTATAATACTTTATTATCATGTCTTGTATATGAAACACTAGAAATAATTGCACATAGACTTTGTTATAAAATCATGTTGGTTGAAAATTTGGTACAATTTATCCCCCATGTCCCATGGCTTAAAAATATCCACTCTAGAAAGAATAAATTGTAAAGTTTTTACGGCCAATTTTTTCAAACTCAACATTTATTCCAACCCTTTTTTTGGAACCAAATAAAAGATATGTGAGCCCTAAGGGTATTTTTAGTCAGATTACACCGTGCTGTCTAAATCTGTTTATTAAATCTTGTATCCTAAATGATGTGTCAAAATCCTATGAATTAAATGTTTGATGGAGTTAGTAGACCCCATTGATCTAACTAATTACATTGATTTCAGTTACAAAATTTGATAAATAATTTGGTCAGCAAAACATTGCTCTTCTTAGCCAATCTCCCGCTCTAATCCTCTAAAATCCTGTGAAACAAACACCCCCATAGGGGCTTTGTTGCTTAGAAGAATAAGTACCTCTAAAATAGAAGATAAAAGTAATCTCATAGGTTGGAAGTTTTGTTTTTGGATTATTTTCGGGCCTAGGTATCAACCGGTTAAGCCACTTTAGTGCAAAACAGAAGGATTGGGGGCGATAGCAAATTAGATGTTGTTGAGTGTTGCTATAACTGAACATCTGAAAAATTATGTGTCCAACTTCAACCCTATGTTGATCTAATGAGTCAGAAAACATGTACCCAAAATGAACCATCATACTCTTGTCTGATGACATTATTCGCAATCATTTTTACGAGTGTAATTTTGTCGCTAAAGTGTACACTTTTGGTAACGAAATCAACCCTTTTTTTTGTGAAGGATTATCTGAAATGAGGCTGTTTTGATAAATCAACGGCAAAAAAAAAAATTCGTCTTTGTGACAAGTTTTAGAGGAAAAATTAAAATTTATGGTAGTGTACGAGGTTTCATATCTGGTCATATCGATTAGTGATTACATTCGGGATGTTGAAAGGAGCCAAAATTGTGCATATAAAAGCTGAATTCTATCGGGACTTATACCCGAATATTTTCCATTTGAATTCATGCTATGTTATTCATACTTCAAAATTTCATTAAAAAAAATGCTACAATCGTGATAAATAGAATAATTTAGATAACTTTGTCAAGAGCATGCAGAATTCCCCGTTGCAGTCTAGTGCGAGAAGTTGATTGATCCCTACAAGAAATGAGGGTTTGGTCGACGTTTAAGAATAAAATTATAAGGCATTTTTAGGCTTTTTCCCGACGTTTGGCCAAGTGTTGGGAGTTCCCTATTTTCTTGTGTTGTGAATTCATGTTTAGTTTCACATAATTGGAATTATAAACAAACTATCAAGTCAGAGGTTAAATCTCTTCTCTTGTAAGTTGTAAGTAACAGATTTTGGATTCGATACTTCTCACACTCTCTAAGAATCAGTCACCCTAATTTCTCATGGTACATGTTCTTAGACTAATTTGAGCTACGATTATTAGTCTCAAAATTCGAAAGAGTAATCGATATAAGCCTGAATATTTTTTAGAAAAAAAAAAAAAAAAA